CACTTTCATTCTCCTGATTTAACAGAAAAAAATAAACAGAAGGTTCCACTGAAGGTGAGAGGATTAGGCTCCTAATTTATTGAAAAATCTCTAGCACTTAATTTCTCAGAAAGTCAATAGAACTGAAAATAAGAGTAGACAACTAGATAAAGTTGTTAGAATTTATATGAAGATAAATATAAATTGAAAAATTACTGAACTCCTGTACAGAAGGATTTTTTTTGTTTCGAAACAGCTTTACTTATTCCTTCGATTAAAAAGTTTTTCAGACTTTTAAATTAATTCACCTGACGGAGGTGTTTAGCCTAAATCAGTAGCATTGCAGACTTGAAACTGTAGATAGGTATTTATTCTCCTCTAAATGCTGTAGGTAGGGAATTACTTTCCTTTAAAGGAAGTTTATTTTAATATTTAAGGGAATTTTGCAACTTCTGTTCATTAATGGTAGAATATGCCCAAGTGCCTATAAAAAAATGATAACAGTGTTGATATTTCATCCTGAAGGGTCTCAAAACAATTTACAGGTTAATAGTATAACCACACTGAAATGCACCCAGCTTCTTGGTGGAACATGGCAGCTGTTTAATAGCCCATAGCAAAACTATACAACAGCAGGTTGTGGAAGAAGAGATGAGTATGGATCAAATATAAATTGGCAGTGGAGGATTTAGATACTGTACTCAAAGTTAGATGAAGTGGAATTCCACTAGAATATTGAATCTGTGGATGAAGTGCTATAGTTTATCTGACCACAGTTCCTAGTATGAGGACCTGTGGTTAGCCAGTGCAAAAGACAAGCAGAGGACTGACTGACTGTATGCTGAAATGTAATCCCTGATGTATACTGTAGACCAGTGTGTTTGACAAACAAATTTAATTGTGAAAACTTTGTTGTTTACACTTGCAGAGAGGTTTATTAAAAACATTTGATGTTAAAATGAATGCCTGAGGGGTAGCTTGGGCAGATGTAGCAATAGGTTTTGATGGGGGTGACAAAAGTTTTGACTACTCTAGTTTTAGTAATTACTTTTTAAAGAAAATGGAATGCTACTGGAGAAGGCCATGTTGCTAACAGCTGCACCAGCTGTGATGGCTGAGAGGTGTTTTTTTATAGATGTAGAGCATTTATTTGGTAGGAAAAAGAGCAAACCAAGAAAGGCATCAAGATGCTACCAGACAAAAATTGTCTGAGGTCACTGTTCGCCTGAGCTGAATTTTGACCTGTGACTGAGGCTGTAAGATCTATAGGTCCTGCACATCCCATTGTAGCTTCTTTTTACCATTTTCCATATAATACAAGAAGATCTGAAAACTTTTTTTGAATGTTTTGAATATTTTTTGAATGTGTATGGAGCTCCAATTGCACCATAGCTCTCTGCAACACATGCCCAATTTAAAAGGAGCAAACATGACTTGAACAATTTTTCATGTGCTTTAGTATGCATGTATGTATGTATTTATTTATTTGGATAATTGAGTTTTCCCTCAGCTAAGGAAAAGCTGATGTTGCTGACATTACAATGTGTTTGTGAAGAAAGACTGATACCACAACACATGCAAGCAACTGCAAGGTCATTACTTACCCAGCATAATTAGAACATCCATTGCGAAGGGGGAAAACATTTAAATGATAAAGAGTGAATTTAAAAATTATTCTTCCCAATGCATTTTTTTCATAATTATAGTTTTAACAGCTTGTGGTGATGGTAGAAGCAACTCCTTAAGAAAAATTAGAAGCCTCATTCATAGAAGATGATCCCTCAAGAGACTTTGTGTTGTCATTTCTTAAGAACCATGAGCAGAAACCTCATTCAGGATGCTGTGTGTTGTTTTGATGTATAGGAGGTATACTTAGCTTATTATGGCCAATGCTGGATATTTTAATTAAAAAGCACTACAACAGCCACAGATGTATTGTTTCCCCCTTATTCCTCCCCTTCTTTGTGTGCAAAACCACAAGCGTACTCCTGCCCCTGAACTTCAAGGAATAAATGCCATAGCAGACAGTCAGGAGAGAAGCAGTAGATTTCTAAAATTCATGTGTGAAGTATATTTGCATCAAAATTCTCATTGCAGCACACAAGCCTTTTGTAGTTCTCCAAGTACTCTGTGGTCTCCAAAGGGAGGTGGTAAATGGAGAGGAAAAACAAAACAGAAAAACCCAACAAGTCACCACATTTAATTTATGATCAAGATTATTGTTTTACAAATAACCTTCATGATGAATAAAGTCTCATGGAAACATTTTCAACCGTGCTTTTATCAAGACTTTTTGAGCGGTGTGTGTAATATGCCTGGCAATTGAATCACAGTTGTGTGCCTGGGTAGGGAATCTCTGCAGAGACAACACTTCCTTAATTTAAACAATTGTAGGCTGCAGGAGTTCAAAAATTTCAGCTGACTTTAACTGTCACTAGCCCAAGCACCTTTATCCCCAGGCGAGCAGCAGCAGCTGGATTTCATTTCCTGCTGCCAGAGTGTCCGACATCTTTGCTGAACATCCCAGGAACTGAGCGTCTTTACTTTAAGGATTTTATTCAAGGTGACAGCTCCTCACACTTTAGCGTTCAGATCACCTCAAGTAGCTGAGATATCAGTGAAAATGAGAGCACTTCTCCAGCAAGCTCCAAATTTAGATTGACTGAGGTTATCCTTAGGCCTCTAGACCCAGCCTCCATGACAGCACAGGCCTGCCAGTAACTTTAAAACTACAGTGAAGTTTGTAATGATGTCTGGGGAGAAATATTCTGCTGGAGCAGTGGAGGATACTATAAGCGATAGGAAATGATGTCAGATTTAGTTAGGGCTGGAAACAGCGTTCGAATATACTTGGCATAATATGGCACCGGTATCTCTGTCAGCATCTCTGTTTTCTGTCACTGCACACAATCCCGGGCCTGTCTGTAGTCCTGACAGTGTCTTTTCAGATCAGGTTATTGCCAACTCAGAGACTGGCTCAGCACAGCACCATACAGCCCCCTTTGTTTGAAGTCTGCCCTTTTGTCATTAATGCACTTGATGTCTATTTAAATCTGATGGTGAATGCAGTATCTGTTTTCCTGTCAAGAGATCATTGACAATATTAATACCTCATGTCCTTGCCTCATTTTCTAAGCACTGACACCTAGCTACAGTCTCCAGCATTCATCAAACAGCACTCTCTCACCAGCATCTCTATAAACAGTCTTGCTTCCAGTCCTTAAGAAATGCGGCAGACCTCAAGACTTTTATCAATGCCAGTGAAAAAGGACTCTGAAGAATGCCATTAATAAACCGTTCGTATCTTTTGCATTTAGAGCTCTAAATGGCCTTGTTACCAACCTAATGCCTGCTGCAATTTGACTTAGAATATCATCTGTTTAGGGGGAAAAAAACCTTGCTTTTCATTAGGCTCATGTTCAGGAATGATAATATCATCCCTTGAATGTGGAAACTGCTCCACTAGTAAAATTATTGAAATTTAAATTATTGAAAAAATCTCCATGGAGGGAAGGAAAAAGGATCAGGCACTGCACCACATAGTCCCCATTTGTGTTATCCTGAAGAGGAATGTGTTTTTTACAACAAATGACAGTCCTATCAATTTTTTTTTTCTTTCCCCATAGGAATGTATCACTATCATGATGTCTTTAAAAGGAAAAAGAAGAGCATGGGTTAACATTAATCTTGCACAGCCCATGCCTTTCAAGGCTTTATTTTCTTACCTGATAGACCATGTTATACTGGAAAAAAAGATGCAGAATATAAAAGCTTGCATACTTAATTGATATTGCAGATTGGCACAGTATTTGCTATGTGAGTACTAGAAAGCTAAAACAGGAATGAATTGAGGATCTACTCCTCCCCCATCTTTACTCTTTATGTAAGGCAGTGTTTGTCTCATTTGGGTTAGGTTATGTTTGCCCTTATGGGTGAGCTAGGTACTTCAGTGACTGCTTCAGTGACATTCCCAAGGTAGAGGAGACCCTTTCACCTTCCTTCCATGCATGGGAGATGATTTTGACTACACGTGCCTGGGGGCACAAAGAACAATTCTGCTTGTAAAATTTAGCATCTTTGGGGATGTTCACAGGTGGGATGTGACTGTGAACTTATGCTTTCACATACCACTTAGTGCCACCAGAGGGGATGCTTTTGAATAAGATAGTGAGATCTGCAGGTATGTGTGTCTCACCTATAACAGTTACGACTTCCTTGGGCATCTTGCCACCTGTACCCACTGAGAATAATGTGCCTTGTCTCCCAAAAGCAGTGTTCTGGCTAATTATTTGAAAGCATCCTCCATGTACTGATATTTAGCATAATTTATAATTGTGTATTGCTCATGGGATGTTGTTTGGAGACGTATTTTGGAAATGTTTTTATTAAATGTTTATTTGTATGTCTGAGAAAAATACTGGAGTCTGTAGGACTAATGGTTAAGGAAGTCCCAAGTTCTAGCCCATGTCTGTCGATGCCTTCCTTGTGGATTTCAGCTGGTCACTTCAGTTCTCTACACTGCAAAGCAGGGATGGCTTTAGATATTTGCAGGGTGACTTTGTGAAGGTTTGAAAGGTTTTCCTGGATCTACATTAAACTAACTACTTGCTGCTTTTTTCTTTTTGGTTTTAATGATCAGGAAAACCCTGTAAACATGTGGGAGACTAACAAGATTACAAAATGTAACTTCAACCCAGACTTTCTGGTTTTCAAAAGCAGAAGTACTGTGATTTGAAATACAGTGTATGATGTTTCAGTGTTGTGTCATGCCATTTTTGAAGACACTTGTGGATGTATGTTTAACGGCATAGGTCGTGCAGGTTATTTGAACACATGTTTTCCCAGTGGATTCAAAACTGCCAGTTGAAATGGTAATACTGAATATTTCAAACACACAAACTTTCTTTTGCAGGACAAGATAAAACTGTTTCCTTCCCTCCTTCAAATTTCTCTAGTTATTTGCTTTATTTGCATATTATGCCACTGCTGTTCTAATTGTAATTAATTTTCTTTTATTGTAGGCATTTTGGGAAAATGCCGTTACATTTACTATGGAAAACATTCTGAAGGCAACAGATTCATCCGAGATGACCAGCTATAAAACACAGCATTGTGCCTCTTCAATCCATCCACATAAGAAGCACAAATTGCATCTAAATTTTAAGCATGTAACTAAAGTCCTCTAGTGCCTTCTGCTGACTTTGCCAAGCCTGTCAAGATCATCTTTCTATCTTAGTCTGAGTAGTCACATAGAGATTGACATGATTGCCTTTAAGCAGGTCCCATTCACCAGTGTGACAGACAGCTGCAGCCGAGCACCCAGCCTGACAGGAGCACCGTGATGGATTGCCTGGTCCAATTGCTGCTCACAGAAGAGCAGGGGTCACACCTGGGGCTGCAGTGAGCATGCTCTGTCAGTCGGCGCCTTAGCAAAAGCACCCTGTTTAATCTTCAGCTTGCCTGTTGAGTGAAAGTGGCTGGCGATATCAAAGTGTTTATAAAAGAGAAAGGCTATAACTTCAGATGAAAAAGCCCTTATCTATTTTGTTTGTTTTTGTTTTTTTTTTTCCCCCCTGTGAATTAAGTGCTTGTGTTTCTATAATCTCGTACATACTTACACAAATCCTTTCACAGTGGTTTTATTGGTTTGGTTTGTGTGTGTGAGTCCTGCCCCAAAATGGTTTATTTTTTCTTTCAATAGGGAAAAAAATATATCCTGAAAATATTTCAGTCATGCAAAGTATCATCAATTTGTATAGTTGTTTATATACAGAGAAAAACGATTTAAGAAATTTTGCAGACAAACAAAATTTCCTAATTCTTAAATTACATCTCAGCATTTACTAACTATGACCTTCAAAAAAGTGATCATTTTTTAATGCTGTAGAATCCTGGCACAGCTTAACTGAGGGCTTGGAAGAATCCCTGAATTGTGATACTGACAGTGTGTATTATTTCTGGTTTATTGCACAAGATATTTTTAACTTTTACAGAGATTACATTTAGAATTAAATGCTTAAATTTGGAAAGAAAAACGTACTTAAAAGGAGTGATTTAAAATAAAATTGCCACCAGATGGGTATGATTATTCAGAGAGGGGAAAGAAATCAATAAAAGTAACTGGTGGAATTAACATAATTAACAGCTTTACTAGTATGTTATAGAGATGAGTTCTGATTAATCCCTTTTGTTGTCAATGTAAGAAGTTCTATTGTCAAATTTTCAGTGGAAAAAAATAAAAAAGCGTGGCATATTTTCTGCTTTTCAGATAAACAGGTTGGACATATTTAGAATCATGAAGTTGTTCCTGTGAAAAAAAAAATCCTAGTACTTCATGCATATATATAGTGTTAAGTGCTACTAGATATAATGGGATTGACCAAGGAATATGCAAAAATTCTGACCTCTGGGCTGTTCCAAACCCATGCATATTGGTCCCAGTTGAGAGGCATCACTGGCTGTTCTTGGCTTGTTTGAAGTTACTTGGTGGCATTTATTCACTTTCCTGGTTGAAAAATCAGGTTTTAGAAGTTGCCTACTTTCGAAGGCCGTTACCAGCTAGAGTTGCAGGTGGAAGTGAGCTGGATGTTGAAGCCAATCATGAAATCAGGTTGGACCAATGAAAAAGAATGAGACACTAGCAGAGTGACAAAGAGAAAGCTTGCTGCTAATGAACATTTACTCAGTAAATGGAAGCCTTCACTCACTCTTTAACAGATACTTAGAATCAGTGATGAACACAGAACAATCCAGTTCACAACACCTCTTGTTCAAATTGAGTTCTGAGCTGTTTGCTATACAAATTGGTGTCTGAAAAGCACATTTTGGCCACTTGTAACATCTCTGCTAATGTCATACATGGCTACAAATGAAATGACAATTCACATTAGAAGTCCTAGGAGATACTAGATAAAGGAATACTACATGCCTCTTTTTGTAATCAAAAATATAATTAGAAATATTTAGGGCACTTGTCATCTCTCTTGGTTACCAAAATAGCAGTCCTAGTTTGTTCCTATCATACTGTCTGTTTTGAAACCTCCACACATTTTGGTCATGGAATATTACAGGCAGCAGGGTTCTGAATAGGGATGTTTAGAATAACCTAATGTCACTTTCAGTCTGGTTGCATGTATGTTCTTGTCTTTATAAAGGCTTTAACCCTGCCTCAAACAATAAACAGCACTTGCAAACTGACCTCATGATTTTTCCATCTTTATTTTGCTTGTTTACTTTTCCTAATGTCAAAACCATTTGTATCATTTCAGGAGTGTTTTCTTCTCAGCAAAGCTTTGGAGGCAAAAATATTTTTGGAATGAGATGTGATCAAAGTCTTTTCCATTTTGATTTTTGTTTTCACTCGGGAGATTATATACCTATAGTTAAATAGGGTAAAGCCCTAATTAAAATTTGCTTAATGTCACTGATTCTGGAAAATCGAAAGGATAATCTATGAATGACTATTTTATTTTGATAGTATGTATTATGATGCTATTTAAAAACAAGCATGGATGTTTATTACTGGTTTTGCTAACATTATTTTTTTAATATGCAGAGCATTTTATTTTCAGATGTCTTCTGCTGAAGTTCTGTTTAAAGAGATGACAAACTTTTCAAACCTGGGACTTCTATCTATACTTGGTTCTTTCCTCAGTGGGAAGTGTGCCTGGATTTCTTAACTGAACTATATAATTTACGATGAAAGTTTCAGTAAAGTAATCTACTGGATTCCACTCTCTCTCCTTTACTCCCCCGTCTCCATATATGGCACATCTTTCTCTCTCAAGATTAACTAGGCTGTTAAAAATAAAAAATTTGCCTACAAAGCTATAAGGATTTTAAAATGTGTATCTTTCCAAGGAACCACTGCATTCTTAGTACTTTGTGTTGTGACAAGAAAAATTTTGGCCAGCCATGTTTCTTGACAGTTAACAAGGTTTGAGATCCAAGGTGTGCTTGACTAAGTAATCTTCAAATGCTACAAATGGGATTTTTTTGAATATCCAGACTCTTCAGTCTTATGTTCAGTCTTGTGATGATTAGTACTTTGGCTTTTAGCAGACATCACATGTGTTCACAAATGAAGACCAAGAGGCAAATGGTTTTACTAGGAGCTGCCTGTAGGAGCTTAGTGCATTCCTCATTTATGTATTGAAATGTTAATTCCAAACTTTTTAATTAAATATAAGGAAAATATCCAAACTATAATATTGAAGTGAAATATTAAAGATAAATGACCTTCAGTGAAAATCCTACTGTTATGGATACACAGACCTAACTTTCGAGCAAACTGGCTCTAGTTGGACATGTTGCATGGATAAATGATTTATAAGTTTGTTGAAGGTATGTCACCACTGAAACCACTTTTTTCTCCTTTGTTAGGGTGAGTCTTACAATACTTATTCTAGTATTTGCTTTACTCAAACTGTGCATCCCTTTGAAGTCAATGTTGTTATTTATGAGAGTTAGGGTTACTACTATTGGAAGGTTGGTGTGCAGTTCCCTTTTTAATATATTTGGGTTTTTGAGCAGAGCATTATATGATTACTGAATGTTCAATTCTCACATCTTCTTTGCAGGTGAAAAATCACTCTGTGTTGGTCTAATGTTGCTCTCATTTAAGTCAGAAGAAAGAAACAAACCTGTCTGTGCTTTTGAAAATTCTTTCTGTAAATTACAGGGTTCACTTGCTGCCAGTTGATGTATTAATATTTTTTTATTTCTGCCAACAATATGAGTATGTTGGGAAACGTTTACCCTCAGCAAACTTTGCTAGATGCAGCCTTTATGGTGAGGTTTGGAATCAGCCCATTTTATAGTGACTCGCACTGCGTCTTGCTACATATTTCTTCTTTATGTGGTATGATAGTTGGTACACAAGTCTCTGCTTGCCCAGTTCAGGAAAGTTTCTTCTCTTTACTCTGTGTGTCTTTCTGCTTTGTTAAATGGTTGACATGTGAAAGAAAGAGATGAAATTCAGCTTTCCACAGGTGTAACCATATAGCCAAGTTTGAGGTTGTATGTTTGACATTAGATTTCTAAGTATCCATTTTCAGTTTCAGTCTTGGGAATGTGACAGTCAGTCAGGTGATACGAAGTTAGGGGTCTTGCATGGCTTGCTAGCTGTTGCCCTCTGTTCCTAAAGATCTCTAGCTGTGTCCTTGTCTGCTTCAATTGCCATGTCATTGTTCTGCAAGTGATGGCATGAAACAGGTAAATGCTTCCCTTTTATTTTTAAAGTGAAATTTTTGCTTCACTGCTTGTAGTTTAATAATTGAAATGCATAGTTTGCTTTTTCAGTGGTTTTATATGTATAGCTGGTAACTGTTACATCTCTACTAGCTAGTCTTTTTCTGCTATTTAGTTAAAATCTGTTTTCTGCATTCCTTTTTACTCCTAGTAATGGCAATAAACCAAAAAAAAAACCCAAAACAAGATATGATTGTGAGAAAACAACCATCTAAAGATATTACTGAGGGACAATGCCTATGCTAGCAACTGTGTGACAGGTGAGTGTTGTTATACAAAAACACATCTTGAAGGAGGGAGATGTCTTCTGGTTTGGAGCCTTCTTGGAGTCAGACCATGACTGTGAACAACTGATAAAGCCTTTGATTTCCTTATGCCACTCTAGCAGTGTAGGTGGTTAGAGAATGTTGTCTTACCTAAAATGAATTAATGTTCATTTTACTTATAATATTATCTGAATAACCTACTAAGATCTTGGGTTATATGAAAGTTAGGCCCAAGAAAAATGGCTCCTTCAAATCATTTATAACCTGTTCTTAAGAAGTCTTAAGGATATTTTCTTTGGCGTTTGTTAAGTGAGAATGTTCAGGATATACTCAGCACTCCTACTTCATCGAAGTTGGTTGAATTAATATATTTTCCATATGCAGTACTAAAGCAGCTGAATCTTTCTAAAGGTTACCTTTTGGGTTAGGTGACTCTGATGGACTTGCCTCTGGTGTTGTTGTCAACCTGAAGCTGACCCTTTCTTGGAGTTGCTGACAATTAGATTAAGGTTTCAGATCAGGATTTTCACAAGCCTTCAAGGAGCAGATATTTTTAAGGACAAGCTAAGTCATGGTCATGGCACATTCACAAAATATCATCATCATCTCAACATCCTCAGCATTTTAAGGGAACAACATCTTGGAAAATATATTTAGTTCTAGGTTAGTTGTGTTGATAGGTTTTAATGTAAAATATATTCAATGTTATCACATTATAAGTAATGCTTAGGCTGTGAGAGCAAGTTTCTAAATGTGTTCAAAACATCCTCCCAACACAAGTTTAAATTTTCTTGCAAATATTTTGCATTCTGATTGAAAGTTTTGCCGCCAATCAAAAATGAAACTGTAAAGTCAAGGGGTTTTAAACCTAGTTATATCTTAATCCAGAAGTTTTTTAACAGATCATCTCACCTCTTATACACAATTACATAGATCCTCTTAGAAAAGAAACACATCCTTATGGAATTACAGTTTTATATTAAAATATATCGAAAAGGAATCTGTTTGGAGATGTCAGTATTAAATGTAAGTTTTAATTCAGTATTATATTTGGAAATAGAGAGGAGCTTCACAGGATTTCTTCAGATCATGCTCTGGAGAAAATCAGGGGCAGAAGAGTGCAGCTTAAGAAATTCTACATTACTTTTACATTTGAATGGGGAAAACCAAATAAAGAATACTGAGGTAGCTGACATGGATACTGCTGGCATAATTTTTATCTGTAATTGCCTTCCTACTTTTAAATTAACACTATTCATTCAATTGAGTATTTAAGATTCAATATAGGGAAAACAAAGAAATAAGATTTCTGAAGACAATCTGCTTATTCATTTTATAGGCTTCTCTGATTTTATAAGACCTTTGAAACAATATGTGCACTCAATTATCTAGCATTCAGTGTATCTACTGAGTAAGCAGACAGTTGTGGACTTCAGGGAATTTTCAAACACACGTGCTGTTCAACCTTAGCAATTTTCTTTTACCTAGGAATTGTTTTCAGAAATTCCCATATAATGAAATTTCTGTTTGAGTTGATAGCTGTAAATGAGGGCACAGTTGCTTCATTTCCTTTTGACTGTAAGCCAAATTCATCCCTGGTGGAACTCCTTTGATTTAACTCTACTTGAGCTAAGCTACACTGGGGATGAATTTGGCCCAGCTTGAGATTTTTTTTATTCATCTTTTCTTTAATTTCCTTTAGCTTAGTAGTCGATTTAGGGCTAGTCAGAGGATTACAATGCAAGAGAGGGGAAAAGCAAAACTTCTCTGCTCTAGAGTCATTTCCTTTTTAATACTCTACTGGTTTAACCATGACTTGTAATGTGTTTCAGGTAGCCAAATTTCAACATCAATTTTGGAAGAAAGTTCTCCATACTTTGAGTCTCCTTCCTTGGATACCTCCCAAACCACCAAATCACCACCTACTATACAATGCACATATTATAAAAGGCAATGGAAATGTCAGTGCACTGGGAAATTATTTGGATAAACTGCAGTTATCAACTGATGCCTGATATGGTTAGCTTGAGCTCCACTGAATACAAACCTCTTTGGCTATTACTTCAGATGATGGTGGAGCTGCAAGATCTCAACATCTGTAGTGCCTAACATATCTTCTCCCCAGCTACTGCTTGCTGTACTTGGGTTTCTGGGAGTCTTGGGTGATTTCTGTCCATGTCATGCTCATGCCAAACTTTTTTTTTTTTTTTTTGTACGTTTTGGTTATTGTGGGTTCACACCCAGTAAGTTTCAAGTTTGAGCAAAAGCTGAAAGCATCATTCAGCCAAAACCACTATTGAGGTGTGTGTGGTTTTCATCTGAAACTGTAAATCCACTACATTCACTGAGGGGTTAGGAAACCTCGCCTTTATGTCAAACCTCTAGCAACTCTCCCAAATGAGGCTAGTTCTGGGTTTCATTATGGAAGGTTTGCACAGCTCTAGCTAAGCCCTCATTTTCCACTTTCAGATAACTGCTTTTTCAGCTGTATTTGAGGCTTAAGAGTAAAAAAAATAAAACTACCAGCTGTTAATGTTAATCACAAGTTTATATCATAAGCACATTCTGACTCTTATCCTCTTTCCATTCATGTCAGTGGCAAAGCTTTCAACATCAACAGCAGTAGGAGCAAATACCAGAAAATATAGGAATGCACACCCAGTCTGAAAAATTAGAGGTCTGCCTCCCCC